AAGAGTATATTTGTTCTTTCTTACCAGCTGGGGAGAAGCTTCCCCCTTTGCTGCACTGTCTGAGGAGCCAGGACTTGTGCTGTATGGCTTTGTTCCTGAGTGGCCTGGGACTCTCACAGCTTGTGTTCGGTTACATTGCCAGGCATGGAGCTGTTTGAGGAGGCCCTGCAGAAGTGGGAGCAGGCACTGACCATCAGGCAGAGGGACAGTGCAAGTACCAGCACTCCTGTGCCCTGGGACAGCAAGAAACAGCAAGAGAGCATGTCTGAGAACATCCCAGAGGTAGGTCCCCACTTTTCCCTGGCATTTGCCAGCTGGGGAACATGCTGCAAGACCAGCCTGGGTGCTAGAAGCAGTAATTAGGAGGTTAAAAGAGCAAATTAAGGGCAGAGTTGGGCCAGACTGTTTAAGAGCTGTCTCTATCTGCAGCTTCCTGATGCAGTGTGGGTGGGTGTTTTTAATTCTTTTTCTTTTGAATAAGTCTCGCCCCCTCATTCCCCAGCTTTTCTACCCACCTTCCAGCATCATGTCAGTCACTGTCATGCCAAGTCCTCCAGCAGCAGAAGCTGCAGTAGGAAAAGGCTCTAGCAAATACAGCACTGGAGAGGAAGAAATAGCTCTTTGCCTGGCAGTATTGTGTCTGTAACTTCTTAAGGCATTTGAAAGTGGAGATCTTGATGGTCACTATCACTTCCTAGGAAGCTGGGTGAAGTGGAGGCCAACTGCTGGTGTGGACTAATGAGTAAAGAGGAGTGATTAGGAGCTAAGTTTGCCCCTGCTTACTGAGCAAGTGGGGCAGGGAGATGTGTAGCTCATTCTGCCTACAGCTCCAGAAACAAGTATTTTAGGATAATGCCTTGTTGTCGTGAACTTGAGGACTCTGCAGAGGAGACCTCTGAGTAGAGGATATCCAAACTAGAAGGCTCAGTGACAATCACAAAGCTAAAGAGAGCAGCTGTAGCTCAGGACTGTGAAGGGAGCTAAACTCCCAAGCTCTCCAGGAGTTCTCACTGTCAAAAAGTGTTCCCAGCCTCTGATAAATGTGGCCTGGTACTGTAAGTAATGTGGCATGTTTGTCTTTTTTGCTGGATAACATTTGTCCAAGTCCAATCCGATTTCTCTTGTTGCTGTCTTTCCTTGAAGAGTCCTGTAGCATTTCTAAAACTGACTTAAAACCAGTTGGTTCATTATCAAAATAGATTTCGTGCTTCATGTTAATGCTTCTGCCAGCTGGGTGAGATAAAGACACAGGGGCATGAAGGCAAGATGCTGTGTAAGTCTTCTTTTTCTGCTTTTTTTTCCCCCCTATCCTCCTGTGCTGCTTAGAGCAAACTTTGCTTATGCCCAGCACTTTAATGCAAGGACTTTTACTCTGTTATCCAATTCTGCATACTCTTTTGTGTTCAACACAGTTTTCTTTTGTGGTTCCCTAAATTAGGCTAAAATCACAAGTCAGGAGAATTAAGTGATCTGTAAATCACTAAAATATTTGGGTTTCTGGATGACAGGTTAAAGTTCTTAAGTTCTTTCTTCCTTTTTTAACAGGGAAACAAAATAGTGAAGCTAAAAAGTGAGCAGGTTTGAATAGGCTGTGTAGAAGCTTCTCTTCCATTGCATTATTAGCTGCATTGTAGGATCCATAAGTCCTTTTCCTCATTTTTTTTTTTTTTTTAATTTAAAAGAAAAACCACTTAATCTACAAATTGCAAATCTCATTTTGCTGAAAATTTTCTTCCCTACTTGTGTTGTCGATGTGTCTCTGCCCAGCTGGCTAACTAAGGGTGGCATTTGTGTATGTTCAAGGAGGAGTCCCAGAAAAGAGAGTTTGCTGAGAAGCTGGAGTCCCTTCTGCACCGAGCCTACCACCTCCAGGAAGAGTTTGGCTCTTCCCTGCCATCAGACAGCATGCTGCTGGATCTGGGTATGGCACCTGGCTTAGAAACACTTTAAAACACCAGTTTCCTGCCTGCTTTTGTGTCTTCTCTGTAAGCTAGGCAATGAAGTAGTGACCTAGTGTTGTTTGTGTGGGGAGGGGGGCAGAAAGTACAGGAGTAAAGAGGAATGGGAGTCCATAAACTCTAAACATGCATCTTCCCCCTTTCCTCCAGAGAAGACTTTAATGCTTCCATTGACGGATGGGTCGTTGCGGCTTCGGACGGACGATGAAGACAGCTCAGCTTCTGAGGACTCCTTCTTCTCTGCAGCAGAGGTGACTTTAAGTTTCAGCTCTGTCTCACAGCCCAGCTGTTTAGAGGGGAGCCACAAAGGCAGTGAAGCCAAAACACATCTTGGTAGAGGAAGATACAACATGGAGCAGCAGCCCAAGCTGGGAGGTTTGGCATGAGTGTCAGGAAAAGCTGTTTCATTAGGGGCATGGTGCAGCCCTTCTAAACCAGCATTTCCCTGTCATCTTCCTGTCTACTGTGGAAGATATGCCAGAACAGCCAGGAAATTAGTGTAAATCCAATGTAATGTGGCTTATTTGTGTGAATTTTGGGGGATATTGAGCTGTGTCAGAGCTTTTAAACTGGTGGGAATAGAAATATCTTTGCATGAAATAATTAGCACTGACAAAAGTTTGCTGGGTGAAGAAGACTCATCTTGCTTGTGCACAGTCTGAGTATTTGCAAACATTTAATGAGATTGTTTTGTTCTTCCCATGTTTCTTGCCACCTGTGCAGCTCTTTGACTCCCTCCCCTTTGATGAAATACCATTCCACCTCTCCAGGCCGGTGGCGGCGTACGAAGAAGCTCTGCAGCTGGTGAAGGAGGGGAAGGTTGCGTGCCGGACGCTGAGGTGAAGTGCCAGCTGGAGTTGTGGGTCCTTGTGTCAAGTTTGTGTGTCCTTAGAACAGTGTGAACACATTGTTTGCCTTTCAGCAGCCCTATAACCACAAGAACCGTTTGGTTTCCTTTGGGGTTGGAAACTCTTGGTGTCCTTCCTGCTGGTTTGGACTCCCTGGGGGACTAGCCCCAGATTTTTAGGATACACAAGTTAAGAAAGAGTAACTGTCCCAGGAGATGAGTAATGGGAAATGTGCCCGTTCTGTGTGGCTGGCTGGCTTAGTCCTGTGCTGCAGCAGCCTTTGCAGATGTGCTCTGGTCCCCCAGGGAGCTGTGCAAAGGGAGTGTAGTTGTTACTTTTTCCTGGGCATAGGCTGGGAATTTATTTTTTTTTTTTTATTGGGGAGCATAGTTGCTAGGAATGCAGGCATCAGAAGAGCTGAGATGTATGCAGACCTTCCCCTTTCCCTCTAGGACAGAGCTCCTTGGCTGCTACAGTGACCAGGACTTCCTGGCGAAGCTGCACTGTGTCAGGCTGGCCTTCCAGGTGAGAGCAGCGCCCGGGTGCCCTGCTGCCAGCAGCACCTTCTCCTCCCACACAGGGGTGAGGCCTTTGCCCCTCTACACCAAGTAAAAGCAGAAGCTGCAGCAGTCCAGGCTCCCCTTGCCTAACTTTAATCTCATCCTGATCGATTTGAAGAGGGAGGGGATCTTCTGGTCCCCATGCCCAGCTTGAGCGGTGGTTTCGTGGCCACTGACACTGGCTTGATTCTGGGAAGTGAAAGTTTGGGAATTTCAGAGCTGCCCAGGAGCTGCCACTCCCACTTAAGAGCTTTTTAGAGGGCTAGAGTCAAACCTCTGAAGTAGGGGAGCAAGGTTTCCTTCTCCTTACTGTAGTCTGCATGCTGCCAGTGTATGTCTAGAGCCTGAACAGCAGCTTTTGTGCCCTGGCCCCACAGCCCCTCTGTGGCTCTTGTGCCTCTGCTCTTGCCACTTCCAGTCTTTCAGCCTAATTTTAAACTCAATTCCTGGAGGGATCAGTTCTGTTTTCTGGACTCCAGCTTATTAGAGGTTAATGCTACTAGTGCAGCATTGCACTGCCTTGTGTCCTGTCCTTTTTTATCTCTCCCAGCTCAGAAGTCGTGTGTGTGTAGGCGTTCACAGGAGACTTGTGTTCCCATTGCAGGAGCTGCTGGAGGATGAAAGCAATCAACTATTTTTTGGGGAGGTTGGGAAGCAAATGGTGATAGGACTGATGACAAAAGCTGAAAAGGTAGGAAGTTTGTATAAAAACTATGTCTTGTAAGCACAGGGACACTTGTTCCTCCATCCCAACCCAGAGTTTTTCCAGTGTCTTGAAAAGAGAAGGCTTCATCTATGTGCTGGTGACTATTGTGAGAAATTAAATGTCTGTGCTTTTAATCTTGGTTAACCAGATTCTCTTGAAAGAGCCTCTTTGTGCAGCTCCCATCCATAGTTTCATCCTGTGCTTCACTAGGGTGAACAGGGGGTACAGGTTGTGCATCAGCAATGGCATTGTCTCAAGGAATGTAGGAAAGGGGAAGGAGAATCAGACCTTTGCATCAACCATATACCAGCTCTCAGATCACTGGCCTAGCCACTGGTCATCCCCTGAACAGGGGGATTATCACTTGCACAGTGTTAGTCCCTTAGTGGCTCAGTTTGTATGCAGGAAGAAAGTGGAGCAATGTAGGTCCACTCTGACTCCACTCAGGTGGACGTTGAGTCTCAGCTGTGCCTGGGGCCTTTCAGGCCTCCCAGAAAGACAATCTCTTTCTGCACAAGGAGTAGCTCAAAACTTCACTGAATCACATGCATTGATGTTGATATTAGCTCAAAATAAATTGGTCAAACTTTAGTGAATTATGTCCATAGTTGTTGTACCTTCTGAAGTGTTTTCTCTCCTCTCCCAGAATCCCAAAGCTTTTCTGGAAAGCTATGAGGAGATGCTGCATTATGCACTGAAGCAAGAGACCTGGCCAACCACTCAGCAGGAGCTGGAGGGAAGAGGGGTTGGTAAAGACATTATCTTTTCAAAATTGCAGAGGAATTGGAGGTTAATGATTATGCAGAAATGGCCCAGGAGTGAAAGAGTTGCTGCTGAAATACAATTATTTTGCAATTGTACATTGTGGGGGAAGGCAGAGGGGAAAACTGGCTGTTGGGGTGTTTGATCCTCATGGCAAATCTTGCCTTCAGCAATGTCAGTACTACTGTGGTTAAAATAAAAAATAATTTTAAATCCCAACCTTTTCTAGAAGGGACAAGCTACTGTCTGTAGGTCTCAGATTTGTTTGTGTTTTGACTGGGCTTTTCCAGGACACAGGGTTAGTAAAGCCAGAGGCTCTCTGGGGGCTGGGAACTGAGTGTACACACTTCAGTCCTCCCACCTTGGTGGCAAGCTTCATTCAGCTCATTACCCGTTTGCTGTGAATCAACAAAGCGTAAAGCACTTGTCCTTTTTAGAACCTTTTTCCTGACAGACTTATGCTCCCTGACAGGTGGTGTGCATGAGTTTCTTTGACATTGTGCTGGACTTCATCCTCATGGATGCTTTTGAGGACCTGGAGAACCCGCCCTCCTCGGTGCTGGCTGTGCTGCGCAACCGCTGGCTCTCCGACAGCTTCAAGGAGACGGTGTGTTGGAGGGGGAGGCCTGCTGCTGAGCAGCAGATCCCCCTCCCAAAGCCAGGGAGGAGTTTAACCTCTGCTGCCCTGGCTGGGCTGAATTTTTCTCTTTAGAAATACCACACTTTCCTAAAACTCTGGGCAAAAAATCTTCTGATACATGTAGATTATTTACAGGAAAATTTTCCGTGTTTTGAAAGCATCTGGTTGGCTCCAATAAGCTTTTATTTCTCTAGTGGCTTTTAGGAGGGATGCCATGGAGATGTCAAAAGAGGACAATGCATGTTTTCATGAATGAGAACAAGGGGATTGAAATGTAGGGAAAAATG